CTGCTGAGGTGAACATCAGACGTGTGTCCCATTTAGTGGTGGAAGAGAGGATTTCACCGGTGGGGGTCTTTGTCCCAGACATACTGTCTAGGCTCAGCCCAGCAGGATGCACTGCTTTTCTCAGGCATGGGTGGATAGAAAATGGGATATAGTGTGTTTTGTTTTAGCTTTATAATTTATTCCTGAAGCTAATTTCTAGTTACCTTTACAGACATCCAGTTATCTGTTGACATTAGGATAAAACTTGTTACAGCGCAGCGACAGACTGAGGAGGTGACACCATACATATAGGTGGACTTCTTCCCTTTTCCTTCATTCTCTTTTTTTCATATTTCATTCATGATATTTCAGGAAACTGTCCAACAGTAATAGATCCTCTTCTACAAGAGTGAAGTTTACATTGTGTCACAGCTATACTTTCATGGATTCTTTTTTCCATCTATGACAATATATAATTTGTCGACTGTAAAGATTTTTCAGTACGTTTAATATCGAGGTAACTGTCTCCAGATATCCAGGTACATCCAGGCAGGCGGGAGTCCAAGAGTCAAATTCAAATGTCTCCAATTAAATAAAGAAAAAGGAAGCCTAGCACTGGCAAATTTTAGAGAATACTATTACGCTGCCCAAATGAGATATATTGGCTGATGGTGCTCCCCAGAGTACCAAGCGGGATGGAAACACATCAAGCTAAACTGGGGTCAGCCACCAGGCGAGGTGGAAAAGAATATACTGCACATTGTACTGAGATTGTTAAAAGATATAAAATGGAGGGAGACGGTAGAATCTTGATGTGGCCCTCGCAGACCCCCAGATTTACACCAGGAGAGACAGATAACACATTCGTAAGATGGAGGGTAAGCGGGATAACAGCCATATGTACACTAACTAAGGGAAATTCATTAAAAATCCTTGAAGAAGTCAAGCAAGAAAAAAGGGAACTGTTTAGATATCTACAGATAATTGGTTATCAGAAGCAGGGAACAATGTGGTTGAAATCTTTATAGGTGCATATATTATATGTGAAATTAAAATTGGAATCGGAACTAAATATTAAACTGTCAGATGAAGATTGGCATTATGTGTGCAAGACACAACAAACCTCCACTAGCTGCAAAAGATGGATGGGATTCGTTACTTTGTTACACCACAACTTAAAAGCACACTAACTAGAATACACCTGCAATGTTGGAGACTGTGGACATAAGAATGCCAATCATTCACACTTATTTTGGACATGCAGACAAATAGAGTCATTCTGGGATAGAGCTGTATAGATAGTGGAGGAAATATTTCATGCCAGGAACCCCAGAGATCCTCAGACTAATAGCTAAGGATGTAATTTTGAAGGAAGACATTTATCTCTTTAAGATTCTGATACTTGAATGTAAACATGCCATTACATAGTCAATGGCTGGAAAAAGATGACATTTAACATCTTCAGTGGTTTTATAACATGTACAAAGCTGCAGATTAACTAGCGGGCAACACGCTCGATACTCCATGAACTGGCTGAGAGCACTCCTGTTTGGTTTGCTGGGGCCTGTACTGGAAAAGCAACCCTCGCTGCAGCCAGATTAGGAGACCAGAGAGGGGGGGGTTTCTTTTCTCCAAGAACATTAGCCTAGGCAGGGGTGAGATGGCAGTCAGAGTGATTAGGAAAAAAGGGACAAGATGAAGATGAAGTGGAACTAAAGGGGGGTGGCCCAGGGAGCACAGTTTAGCCACCTGCTGTGTGCCTCTTGATATCACTCATTTTCTTTGTTTTGCTATGTTCAGAAGTATCGGCCTCTGCCCTGTGTCTTACTCTACATATTAAAGATAAAAAGTTGGTTTAAACATCTTATGGAAAAAAGGAAAAGGACACCTTCAAATATCATGTACTGTTTTAAATTGTTTTGGAGCATGTTTGCATCCGATCCGGCTTTTGCTTTTTCATCATGTACGTGCAGTTGTGAGCCTGATTGTATGTTGTGCATCCCGTTCCCCGAAGTTCCTGCCGGTGGTTTCCAGGAGGGCTTTGATATGTATCTGGGCGCTGCACTATTAGAGGGATTTCCCTGGGCCTGACAGCTCAGAAAATGTGCGGTGAAATGCCAGTGGGCCAAAAGAATGCTGGAAACAGGATTAGGATCATATTCTGGCAGACCCTGTCACCTCCTCAATGGGCTGAGGTCTCTGACGCTGGCACTTTTCTTTCCTGCCATGGTTAAAACCTTTAAGAGAACCATGGAGAGGAGGAAGAAAAAAACAGTACACTGTGATTTGTGTCTGTGTGTGTGTGTGTGTGTGTGTGTGTGTGTGTGTGTGTGTGTGTGTGTGTGAGAGAGAGAGAGAGAGAGAGAGAAAACAGTCAGTGCTGGAGATAGAGTAAACCAGTGTAGATCAGATATGAAGTGCTCTTGTTTCAAATTGTGTAAAGCTTTCATTTCTATTGCTTTACCTCAACTACACAGTAAAAAAAAAACTTTACTGCGATATTTACATGTTAAGCTCTTTCTGTTATTTCTGTAATTTTTACAGAACTCACTCATGCACAGACAAATACACACATACATGTCAACACCTGCTTAAAGGAAGGTAGATGGAGATAGTTGGTGCCTGTAAATAAGTGGTGAATATACAGTCCTGAGTGTTAGAGATAGAAGCACCTGATCCAGCATCAGGGGCTCTGCACACTTGACCCTGCAGCAGTACAATATAGCAATTGCTGTTCAACCCCCAGGGTGTGTGTGTGTGTGTGTGTGTGTGTTTGGGGGAAGGGTGTTAAGAAGAGAGAGAACATTTGGAACAAGAGTATTGTGTTATGTTCTCTGGTCCGGAGCCCCATGGGAGGAAATCCTGCCGTGTACCTGCACAAATTCCTCCTCTGGATCACAAGGACATTCACTTCTCCTGCATATCCACATCGCAGTCTTATCAGTTGTACAGACGGGATGCCCTTGGCCGAGGACGCGCACGGGTACGTGGTGTAATAAAAAGCAGCAAGGTTAGGGTGAGGCATCACACCAACATAAATGCTGGTAAACTAGTGAGATCATTATCCCCTCTAAGATTTTTGGAAAGCAGTCATCTATAACAGAGAAATAGATCAGTGTGGCAGCTGAGGTGCATGTGTTGTTTACACACACACACTGAGGAGAGATGTATGTATCTAAAGGGCCGATTACACAGACCGGGCAATACATGTAAAGTTTACAGTGGGAAGAGCAAGGGCACATTTTGGATGGTGCGGCCCTGCACGTGTGTGAGTGTGAGCGGGGCTGGGCGGGGGTCTGTGCGTTTTGACAAACCATGCTGTTAAAGATATAATAGCAGCATAATCACCGCCCCAGGCTGTCATTCTTCAGCATAATGGCCTGCTTATTCATCGGGGATGTCGTGTCTCCACGCTGCTTTTTATTTTTCAGATTATGTTGTTCTTTTTCTCTCATTTGCTCCCTTACCCTTTGTCTCCATGCCAGTACAAATGGGTATATCTTTTTTTTTCTTAATTTGACCTTCTCTCATCCCTTCATTGTCTTGATGCTTTTCTGCACCTTACTGTTTCTCGTCCTTGTCACCATCACTATAATTTTATTTTTAAGGCAGAGAAAGGCTGATCTAATATTTTATTAACTTCTACTTACATTTTACCTTGGCCACAGAAGGACTTTTAACAAACATATACAGTTAAGAACTAAACTGTATTACTAAAAACATGCTGTTTGCATTGGAAAATGAGTTTTGTAGGACAGCACCCAAGTCGGTTTGATCATCCCTACCCCCATGAGTATTGATATATTCAGCGGGGATAGAGAAGTGTTCATTATAAACATCTCCAAGCAATGTTTTTATTTGATCACTATTTTACAACAACACTAGTTCAAGTCTACATTGTTAGGGAGGAGTCAAGCAAACAACACTACTGATGGTCCCATCACTCTCTCCTCCACCATTAGAAATCTATCACTGGACCAAGTAGTTTGACAGAGACAGTCAGGGGAACAGCATTAGAATAACAGCAACAGCAGAACTCAAATAGAGTCAGGACAGCAGTACACATAGGACTGGGGTCGGTTATTCACTGAGATCTTTTCACATTCTTTGACCTCAGGCTTTTCTGTCTGGATTGATTGCAAAATACAGAAAGCAATACAGATTTGTTCCATTGCTTCTTTTAAGTCAGTTCCAGAGATGAAACTGAACCCGTTTAAAATATGAATTCAACTCAGGATCGGTACACAGACAACCAGGAGAGGAGGGGTCGACCGGTGCTGCCGGTGAGCTCAGCAAATATAGCCTTACAATCTGACAGCTGAGGGATTTTGATCTGAGACAGTCCATTATCAGTTATACAACATAATAGGAACTTTACAGTTACCTTACCAGTAAACATTAATAGATAGACATTTTTGTAGTTTACATATTAAAATAATGTGCTTTTTTCATTATGAAGAGATCATCTTCCAGAACACATAAACAGCAGAGAGGTGTGTCACTGTCCTCTTCAAGTGCTAACAGTCAGTCAAGACGTCCAGTGAAAAGCTACATGTTTCCTCAAGAGAATATGAAGGTGAGAACAACCGCTGTGAAAACATGAGTCAAGGCCATATTTATCCAAATTTGTCTCCCATATCAATTTGTATTCAAAGGAAATTGAGCAACTCATCACGGAGTGATATCAGTCATTCACCGTTTTTGTGTTCAGGCCTTTTGAATTTAAAACAGGCTGCTTTAAATGTTATGCATGTTCTTAATTGCATTTTCCACAGCTCCATCGGCCTAGGGCAAAATGTAATTAAAAGCTTTGAGAATTTAGTCACTGAAATCATTTTCTCATTATCACGCCAGTACAAAGTGGCATAGTACTGGCCATTAAACTGGTAAATTAGTCACTTTTAATTATGCTGTTGAGGACAACATGGCTTAGGTTTATTTTTATTTATGTGCTGTTATGTCGCACAAGCTATGTACATAACTACATTGCTTAATTGAAATATCAGTGGTACAGTGACAGAAGTGGTCACTTATACCTTTCATCCTCCTGGCCAACAAGACTTATTCCTCCAAAAGTGCCTCATTTATTCACATTATTCTTGTAAACATTTGCATTGTCTTTCAAAGTGAGTGCATCCATCATCAGCTGTTCATATCATCTTTAGTGTTTCTTTTTTTTTTATTATTATATCACAAATATCAAGACTGTCCAGCATTATATGTCACTGGAAACATCATCATATGAGTCAGGAATATGCTCATTGTCCTTGGAGTTGGGAAATTCACTTGGTTTGATGTGTCCTCTTTTAGCAATGTTCAGTATCTTATGGGTCGTCTTTTCCCAAGGACGTAATTGCAGTGGAAGCCAAGAGGAGTCAGACAAACTGTAGCTAAAAAGCTATAGGTATAGTGCATGTTGGCTTGTTTTTGTTTGGATGCCTCTGCGCATCCTGTGCCCATCTACTCATGAAGGGCTCAGTATACAGCTCCTAAAGCACTATCACAGTCACACAGACACGCAGTAGGATGGGCTGATATGTAGGCCGAGGCTGTGGTGTAGTTTACACTGTCCTCCGTACAGTCTGATTCTCAGTTAGACAGTGTGTCCAGTCCCAGCGAGGCAGCGTGCTGTTTGGCCCTCAGACGCAGGTTCTCGATGCTGGTGGTCTTGCTGTTGTGGCTGGTTGGCTGTGGTGGTGGGGGGGGCCGCCTGCAGCCGACGCCTGCAGCAGTGGGCTGCTCCACACCTGCTGGGCATGATGGGACAGGGACTGGTAGTAAGACTGGCAGGGCAGAGAGCCCAGTGGCGCAGGGGGCATGTTAACATTCATTCCCAGGTAGGGGAGTGAAGATGGGGCAGCAAGGTCAAAAGCAGGGTAATGAACCAGGTTGTTGGTGGCAGCCATGTGCTGACGGAACTGCTCCTGCAGACGAAACAGACTTAGAGGGGAGGAAGAGTAAGAGTGGCCTTGAGAGAGAGGGCCACTGCTGGCCAGGCTGCTGCTGGTGGAGGAGGGGGTCGCTGACAGAGAGGCCAGGGGAGAGTCTGGACAGAGAAAAGAGGTGATCATGCATTTAATTATCATTGAGCTAATGAGTACAGTGTTGCAGATGTGGGATGCTGTGCAGCAGGTTTGTGGAGGACAAAGAAACTAATTCAGTTCACTGTGAGAATAGATCCATCAGAATATTCTCACCTGGTTTAGGGCTGAGCCTTTTGCAGGGGGAGGCATCTCCAGGTGTTGCTGCTCTCTCACACTTCATTTCCTCTCTGTGAGATTTGCTCTCATCCTCCTTATCTGTGCCATTATCCTCCATTGCCGACTCGCTGCCTGAATGTTCTGCAGACGTGACATTCAGCTCCATGTCCAGAGGTACAGGACGGATCATAGGACCCTCTGGCTCCAGAGAAGATGAAGAAGAAGAGGAGGATGATGGAGGGATCTGGACATCGGGGAGGATGGTGGTGGAGGCAGGTGCATCCTCCTTCTCACTTCCTCCCTCCCCAGATGCTTCTTTCTGTTTCTGAAGCTGCTCCTTCTGGAGGCTGCGCTGCTTCTTGCGGAATTTAGCTCTGCGGTTTTTGAACCAAACCTAATGGGACAGTGAAGAAGAAGGCAAGTCAGAGGCAAGACAAGAAGGAAAGATGTCCAGCAGCCAGTGAAAACTAGTAGGGACTGAAATGCACATCAAATGACTGAGTTATGTGAGCATCACATTTTAAAACAGCTTTTTCCCTCCTGCAGTAAGACTAAAGGCAAACACAAAATGTGACAAACCTGTGCAATAACCCCTCATTACCCTACTAAATAGAATACCATATACAATTACACCATGTGCAATATTTGAAACTCCCCATTTTACCTGCTATCTTATTCTTGTATCCACAACTTTATCAACTATTTTGTATTCTTGGGTATTCTTCTATTTAGACTAGGTGTTCATTCTTTTGGCTTTAAAGTCTTTATCTGACACCAGAAGAGCCATGCACAAGAATTCCTATATGCCTAGACTGTCTGTTTATGCAAAAATGGCAAATAAAAATCTTGACTTATCAAATGACTGAGCGGCAGTGTCAGGCATTTCCACAGGGTTCTAACAGACTGAACTTACAGCTTAAAGCTATATTAACTAAGGTTTTGCACAAATTCAGATAAATCAAGTAAAGAAATGTCTAGAAGTGTTTGGTCCCTGCACATTTTTTCTGAATTAGCAAATGAAGTAATTTTTCTCAGTATTGGTCCAGTTTATGTTGGACATAACGCTGCAGTCCATGTAGCTTTTTAGTGACATGTTAAAATTTACATTTGATAGTTTGTTCAACTATCAAAGTGTAACATCATTTATCTTGCTTCTTTTAATTCAGGCTTACCTTATAACATTATGTGTGTCAATTATGTAGTATTGAATATGATGCAGTAGTGTCCAGAACATTAATACTCTATCAATATTATTGGGGAAAAAACAATTTGCTTGTGTTACTGCTTTAAGAAAAAGACCTTTGTTACTACAGTGCCTTCGAAAACCATAGGCTCTATGCTGTGTTCTGTACATGTTAGTTCTGGAGCCAGTTATTACTGCTGAGCTACCTGACCGCCCAGTCTGTCTCCAGATATAGTTACCACATACACTCACTGGCCACTTTATTAGGTACACCTGTACAATTGTATGCACTTCAATGCAACACTTCTGCCTTAACATCTGTGTTTATGATGCTCAAAATGTCTGTTTTTGGTGAAATGATCATAAATATATATAAATTCAATTATGTGTTTATTATTGGGGTCATAGTTAAAGATGGTGTTGTACTGGACTATATTATATTTAAAGGTGTTCCCAATATTCTGATGTATGTAGCTGGGGAGGACAAAATTATAGTAACACCTTGAATTAAATTGCATACAATTGTACAGCTGTGCCTAATAAAGTGGCTGGGCAGGGGATGACAGGTTTTCCGACAAGGGAGGGAGGGAGAAGAGGAGGGGATACTGCTTGACTTAGTTTTGACTCTTACTCACTCACTTACGGTCAAGTTAGTCAGAGTTGCTTTAAAAACTAATTATAATAATCAGTAACTTGAGTTGGTAACAAATAAACTAACCAGTTTTACTATGATAATAGTATTTGTCACCACATTTTATAGTTTGTTGTACTCAGATTAATGACCTACATATTTTGTGTGGTATGTATAAGTGACAAAGCTTTGCATAAGACCTACTCCCTAAAATATTTCATATAATGCAGTTTTTTTTTTTCAACTTCAGTTGTGTAAGGCTGTTTGTTGGTTTGATCAATGCAGCAGACAGTTGCACTTTTTTCCCTCTGTCTATTATTTTGATTCACGTCACAGATTTATTAAAAAGGATGTTTTACTAAGAGTAGGCTAGTCCACCCCCACGGATTTAGGTTGATTCTATACAAATGGTGCACAAAAGTGTAAGTCCCCATAAATATAAGCTCACATTAAAATGAGAGAAGAAGGACCTCCAAACTCGCCATTGGTTAGTACAAACACATCACTGTATTTTTGTGTGCTGCAGTTTTCCTATGGAGCAGGCCTACCTGCACTCGGGCCTCGGGCAGGTTGGTGCACATGGCCAGCCGCTCCCTCATCACCACATCCGGGTAGTGGGTCTTCTGGAAAGTCTTCTCCAGGGCTTCCAGCTGCTGTGCCGTGAAGGCCGTGCGGCTCCGGCGCTGTTTGCGGTGCTGCGAGCCGTAACGAGCCTCCAGGATAATGTCTTGAAATGCGCAGCCGTTGGAAAGGAAAACACACGGCAAGTTTTATTTTACTGGGCATATGGGTTTCTGAAAAACCACTTTATGTGCGTGAATGTCTGCTTCGCAAATATTTAAGAGGCACGTGATTAGATAAAAAAAAACACCTAACATGATAACCCTGTTATTCAACACTAAATGATGCCCGTTTGCAGAGGATTTTGTGTGTCTCTCTCTGTGCGTGTGTGTGTGTGAGCGTGCATTCAATTACCAGCTAGTCTCTCGGCCAGCGTGAGCGCGTGCACGGACGGCCGGTAGTCTGGTGCGTGCTGCGCCTGTTGCGCGGCCTGCTGGTGCAGGTTGTACATGGCGCTGAGAGAGTTCATGGCGTGCAGAGAGTAGCCGTTCACCCCGTAGTGCTGCATGGTGAGAGGGCGCTACCTGCGGAACAGAAAAGGAAAATTGGCTTCAGTGTTTCATTCAGGGACATTTTGACTTCAGGGCGCGTTGCGGCTGATAGACACAATGTCAACATGTCATCTCAGAACCAACTCCACATCTGGATAAGGAAGGTCTGCTCTATGTGATCCAGTGCTATGACACACACGAGGCTCAGGGGCCAATAGATTTTAATGTGCCTACTCAGACAAAAGTGTTATCCATTAACATCCAATTATCGCTCTGTTCATTCCATTAATTATACAAAAGACTTTAAATTGGGGTAATTATCGCTCTTTCCCATAATGAACCGTAACGGGTGCTTTATTCATGAATTTATTGACGTCGCTCCTCTGATCCCGGAGAAGCCAAATCCCCACTGAAAATGTTGCTCTGACAGATCAAGGCTTTGATGAAATGTGTTGGAAAATGATATAAGGAGATTTGTTCCGGGTCTCGGTGGCAAAACCTGCAAACGGATAGCAGGATTATTTTTAATAGGCTATGATTACGGAAATGCTGTAGTCAGTCCTGTTCAATAGAGAGACTTATATAAACACTTATTAAGACATTTTCCTGTTAATTTAGAACATGTATTATCGACACATAGGCCTGGACACTTACACTCATTTATAACGATACGAGAAGTATCTTGAGTAAAACATCGACGTTAGTCTTTCGCAGAGCAGCAATTTCCAAAACTGTATCTATGTTGTATTTCTCCTTCACGACCGTGATTTTCATAGATGAAACGCTCGAGGACACGATTAGATATGTATTAGTACGGAGGAGGTTGACAGGAGGGGATATCTCGGAGGCCCAAACACTTATTACAACTATTACAGAGGGGCCACGGGGAAAAGATATAAATCTTGGTGCTGTATGACAGGTACAGTGTCCTGGGAACTGTACGCTCTTAAACAGACGTAAAATATGTTAGACAGAGATGAGAGGTTATACCAGTTTGTTTTAGTTTTTAATTAATTCTGTAAAAAAAAAAAAAGAAAGTATCAGCATTTGTTATTTAGTTATTCCAGATAAATTTTTGAGTATCTTTATTTACAGTCTGACCAAGGTCAAACACTTTTTTTAACATAATGACATCGTTTGATTGACACTAATCAAATTTTTGTAAGAATCAAATATTAATTTAAAAAAGGACAGAGCATATGATAATAATAACAATAATAATATAGGGTAATTATAAATTACCTTAATTTTAGAAATCAGAAAGGTTCTTGTAAAAGCCACTTTTCCTGCCCATTTCTTTTTGAGTGTGTGTGTGTGTGTGTGTGTGTGTGTGTGTGTGTGTGTGTGTGTGTGTGTGTGTGTGTGTGTGTGTGTG